TCGTGAGGGATCTAAATGTCACACATGAATATAATGCCTTCTTAAAATTGTCGATATCTTACCACTTGTCTTCCTAAGAAACTATTGGGTAGGTTAATTTATGGTTGTTATTGGTTAAACGTATAAATATTTAAGAGAAACGTAGTAGCACATTATAAGTAGTTTATTTGTTAACATTGACTATAGTACATTATTGGATGGGTTTGAGATTAAATGCTTGAGGTATATTTCCGTTGCTAATTTGAAATTAATATCTAACACGGGGCATATATAATATTATTAATAACTTACGGATTATCTTTCATAACATACATGTTATTTTCCGTGGTCGCATTAAAATCTTGTGTAGTACTGACATAAATAATAAAGTTGAAAAAATTATAATTAAACTTGAAATTTTCTCATAATTTTAAAGCGGGCTAGAGCTATTTTAAGTGGTTGTGAAAATTTCTAGAAAAAAAAAAAAAAAAAGAGGAGGCTAGATTTGAAGAAACGAGGGAAGAGTTTTAAAGGTAAACAATATAAGTAATAGAGATTCCGAAAAAAAAAAAAAAAAAAAGAGGAGGCTAGATTTGAAGAAACGAGGTAAGAGTTTTAAAGGTAAACAATATAAGTAATAGAGATTCCGATTTTTTTTTTTCTTTTTTGGTTTAATCTAAAGGACGGTATCAATGCGAATCTTATAATTTATGTCCCCAGTAACTTTCATAAACAGTGCCTCGTCACTTGGACTGCTCTGCATGCAGTAGGTTAGATCTCATAAAGTCACATGATTCAAACATTTGGGAGATAAGGAAAGAATTTAAGAAATAGAGTCTGCTTCTGATCTTGCTTCAAACAGCAAAATTCTCTTTTGCATGTTCTGAACTTAATGCTTCTAAAGGCCTCGTGAAAACTCTTGAAAAAATAAACTTGGCGATTTATATATATATATATTGAGGTAGGGTAGGTCATAGGTGCAGAAATAGCCGGCTTTCCCTTATTGAAAAGAAAAATAATACTAATAACGTAAAACAAAATCACGTTTATTTTACCAAATTGAGTTTAAAATTTAAGTTTTATTATAATAAAAAATTTTAAAAAATAATCACAACTAACTTTTTTACTATAATAAAATTTTCTCACATAAAGTCATAACTAACGCTGGCTTAAAGCATTTGCATAACCAATTGTAACCCTTGTAACGGGGGAGGGGAAGGGTCCCCTCCCCTAGTGTCCCACCATTCTGAAGGAATGGAATAAAGGGATGACTTAACGTTTCCCTTCGTCCCATCATTCCGAAGGAATGAAGTAACTCGCTGTTTACTGAATGAACGTTAGAGCGAGCGAGCGAAACCTTCAGTTTAGTGTCCCCCCTTATCCCTCACCCTACTCTTTCATTTCTGCTTAAGCTTCCCCGGGTTGGGGGATTAATTGATTGGATACCTGAGAACCATAATCATTCATAGGAACAGCTTCTACGACGATAGATAGGGGTCAGGTTTGTTTGGCATCTATGCCCCCTGCCCTCCAAACAGGATGGGAGCCTTTCAGCTCGTACTGCTCACACTCCTAGATCTTCACGGCACCTCCTCCACCATCAGTGCTGGAAATTTCTTCTGACTCGGTGACAGTAGGTGACGCCAAGCTCTCTTCGTCACTTCCCGTACTATATGAGTACTCTGATTTACTGGAATCTGATGACGATTAACATGCTTGCTCCACATCGCCACTAACATTCCCAGCGGCTAGTCTTTTATTAAAAAAATAGAAAAATTATTATTATTATTATTGTTTTCTTAGAGAAGCATGTGCAAACACCCATGTGATGAGACAGAGAAGAGAAAAGAGGTGAGATTAGTTTCTCTCTCCATTTCTTTTCCTACTTTGCGTGAGGGAGATAATAGTTTAATTAGGCCAAGTTGGGGAGAAAAAAAAAAAGAGAGAATTTATCCAAGTGGTGTATCTATATCTATAAGAAAAGAATCATTCCGGGTGTATATGGTAGCCATGTGAATGAAGGAATTTTAACCAAAATACTATTTTCATATTACATTACACGTAACACAACTACCATAAGCATGCAATTAGGATCCCTTTCTTTAAAGCCTATACACGATTGGAATATTCATATCACGACCAATTCCACATTTTTGACCAAACCATTGGCTATTGCCTATATATTAGAAAACTTTGATTTTTAATGACAACGAGCACTAAAGATAATTTTTATTTTTTTTCATTTAAATTTTATTCTATTTTTATCTTTTTTTAAGAAGAGCCGACTAGCCCAAGTAAAATATTTCTCAAATGACAATTTCAATCAACCATTTATGCCATTTTAAATGGAAGACATAAGTAAATAGCATTTTTACAGAATAATTGAAATAAATAGCACGTTTTATAAACATTTAGAGTAAATAGCAAATTTACTTAGTAAATTATTTAACAAATTTGGTGTTATTTAGATATTTTAAAATCTTGCTATATAATTATTTTAGTTTCTTAAAAAAATGCCATTTAGACATAATTATGTTGACAATTCTATTATCATATATAAATTATAAGAGAAAAACTATTAGAAAATATATTGACGAAGGGATTTGTGGATTTAGATGCACAGTTTTAGCTTTGAACAAGGATGTAAATTAAAGGTTCTTTAGTATGTTAGGAGAAGAATTTTCAGCACCAATGTCAATAGAGGATTACTTGTGACCTCAAAAGGTTTTAATATTGATGTTATGTTGTTAATTTACAAATACTGCTATATTTTTATAAACTTTGAACGTGTAAAAATTGAAATATAAAACGATAAACTTATAAATTGTGAACGAGAGTCCCGACATTATAGAATGACCCAACAGATTGAGGAGAGGGTTAAGCCAAAGTGTAGAACGAGAGATGTTAAAACATGACTTAAACAACTTAACGAAAAAAATAAAAGAAAGAAACATGACTTAAACAACTTAACAGAAAAAAAAAAAAAAAAAAAAAAAGAGAGAGAGAGAGAGAAAGAAACATGACTTAAACAAGTGGCATCTGTGTCACGTGGAGGCATATTTCCGTTCGTAAAGCCCACCAGTCATTTATTTGGCTTTTTCTACTTTAAGACGAGTGAGAAACAATTATACAGCTAGAGCTAGCGGATTTTACAAGGCTTTTACCCCCTACTAAAATATCCTTTTTTTTTCGTTAATTTGTGTTTAAAATTTAAATTTTATTACAGTAAAATTTTTTTAAAAATAATCACATTTAATTTTTTTATTATAATAAAAAATTTTTACATAACATCACATCTCAACTTAAATTAAAAATTTAAATTAGTGAACCGAACAGACTTATAACTGTGCCCGACTTCTGTTCTCTACAAAATTTATAGAAAAAAGAGGAAAATAAAAAAATCAAGAGAGAGGTTAAAGCCGCTTTTAAACTAACGTGGACGGATAATTTTAAAATATTTTTAAACATTTTTAAAATAAGTTATTTCCTCAATGAAAAAAATGTTTATAAAAAACTTTTTTATTTACATTTTTAATTTTTTATTTGTAAATAATAAATTAAATATTTTATCAATATTCTTTTATTATATTACTTTTTATAATAATAAGTGTTTTTAATTTTTTTTATCTAAACGTGTTTAAAAACTATTCTTAAATATAAAAATATTTTTTTAGACACTATCTAAACACTAATTAAAACATAAATTATCCCAAACGGATCCTTACTTGTGCTCCAAAATAAGTTTAAGAAAAAATTAAAAACTAAATGGGAAGTTTTACTACGAGACATATTATTTTATTATTATTTTTTAAATTTGTAGTTTTTATTCTATTCTAAACTGAGGATCCATTTAGAATAATTTGTCCTTATGTTTTAAAGTAATAGAAGAAAATAAGCATAAGTGAGAGACTTTTTATTAGTGTGTTGAATAATACTTGAAAAAATATTTTTATATCTAAAAAGAGTTTTTAAATTTATTTAGATAAAAAAATAAAAAACAATTATTATTATAAAAAGTAATGTAACAAAATGATATAAATGAGTTATTTAATATGTTATTCATAAATAAATAGTTAAAAATGTAAATAAAATATCTTTTCATAAGCATTATTTTTATAAGTATTTTCTCGTTCACTTCGCTGATTCGAGTTTAGAATTCGAGTTGAGATGTGATTTTATGTGAGAGCTTTTTACTGTAGCAAAAAAATTAGATGTGATTGATTGTGAGAACTTTTTACTGTAGAAAAACTCGAATTCTAAACTCGAATCAGCGAAGTGAACGGAGCAGATTGATCTTTTCATAAGCATTATTTTTATAAGTATTTTCTCGTTCACTTCGCTGATTCGAGTTTAGAATTCGAGTTGAGATGTGATTTTATGTGAGAGCTTTTTACTGTAGCAAAAAAATTAGATGTGATTGATTGTGAGAACTTTTTACTGTAGAAAAACTTGAATTCTAAACTCGAATCAGCGAAGTGAACGGAGCAGATTACTTGTTGTAAAAATCTTATTAAAATTAAAAATATTTTAAAGTTGTTTATTTAAACAAATTTAAAGTGTGACTTTTAGACTAAAAATTTATTTAATTAGTTAATTTAAATTTACGTAATTTTATATGAAAATATTTTATTATAATAAAAAAATTAAATATTATTATTTTTAAAATTTTTTTCCTATAATAAAACTCAGAATTTAATACGGCCGTGAATACGCTTTCTGTACCGGCCTTAAAAAGCGCCTCTCTCTTCCGTCTTCTAAGACCACCCCCTCTGTCTCTTTTGCTTGTAACACAATGCTTCCATTTTTCGCTCACAATAATAAGCCCATATAGCAGTTTCCATTACTTATAAATAAAGTGTTTTTTTCTTTCGGTGGGTTCTCAAAGTTATGGATTTTGGGGTAGTGGGTTTGGATCATGGATTGGGGGTCTCTTCTTCTTCTTCTCCTTCTTCTTCTTTAGACGCTGGTTTTGCTTCCCACATTT